GTGCAAGGCCTGAGCCGACGTAATACCTGAGAGAGCAGACTCACCAGCACCTGGGGCAGCAAATGCACTAGCACCTGGAGAAGCAGCCTCACCAGCACCTAGAGCAGTAGCCTCAATGCCCGGGTCAGGCGGAACACACAGGTAACAGTCACCCTCATCACTAACAGTCGCAGCATACATGGCAACAAGAATAGCATCATCGTCAAGATCAAAGATGGCAACCCCCGCCCTAGACAGCTCTCCCCAGCGAGGGATCTCTGAGGAGTTAGGGAACTGATGACCCCAAGCGTCCATCAGGCGGCCAAAGCAGCTCTGGGAGGAGTGCGCGCCTCCGCACTGCTCACCAGCGCGGTCGCCTGTACGAAGGACGTAGGTGCAGGGACCAGTACCCCCACCCCGCTGACGCGCAGCGTACCACTCACGAAGCTGCTGAGGGGACAGGGTCTCACTACTACGCTGCTGCTGTTGGCGCGGACCACCACAGGAGCCACTCCTCTGTACAGAGCCGCGACCAGCTCCACTACCGCCTTCGCCGCCTCCGCCACCTCCGCCGCCTCCGCCACCGCCGCCGCCTCCGCTCCCTCCGCCAGCACCGCCGCCTCCTCCGCCTCCACTGCTGCCGCCGCCACCTCCACCCCCACCACCACTCCCACCACCACCCCCACCCCCTCCTCTGCCTCCACCACCACCTCCACTGCCCCCACTAGCCCCCCCAGCTCCCTTGGCCCCCTTGCCCTTGCCGGTGCGGCGCTTCCCGCTAGGGACATACGCAGCGCCGACCGACTCGAAACCAACGAGGTCGGCTGCAGCAGCAGAAGCAACAGAGGGCAAGAGGGGGGAGGAAGATCACCCCTTAAAGACGGGGGTGCGAGGGTCACCACGAGAGCCTCCTACAGGGACTATGCTCTTCCCTGCTGCTGGAGGCGCTCCTTGAGGAGGTCAACAGTGAGTGTGGTGGGGCAAACTGAGAGGAAGTGGTCCCTGACTGAGCAAAGGGAGTCAGGGAGCCGGGTGACTATGTAGTAGAGGGTGATGTACATGGGGGGGGGGGGGGGGGGGGTTCTTGGCACAGAACTCAGCGGGAAGCGCAGCGCGGTAGCGAGTGTCACTAGTGCGGAGGTGCGTAATGAGGTCAGCGACTGTGGGAAAGGCAGCAAGGTCAGGGACCAGGTACGGCAGCATGAGGCGGCTAAGTGCAGCAGTGGCAGGGGAAGAGTAGCGTGCAATTACAGCATCGTACAAGGTCTTAGCACTCTTGTACTGGCTAAAGTGCGCACGCTCAGTGGTCGGTAAGCGGCGACGCACAGCAAGGCGTGCAGCAGCATTGCGTGTGGCCCACTGTGAGCGAACAGTGCCTTTAGCAGTAGCAGGCGGGGCAGGGGAGACACCAGAGGTGAGATCGAACAATGAGAGTCCGTCCGCCCTATCGCACTATAAGAATAGCTGGAGGTCGTTGACCCAGACCTCACAGTCAACAGCACGACCCTCATTGTCAAAGGTAAGGACACTGGGGGTAGCCATGTTTGCAGCGGCCTATCAGGGAGTGAGCTAACCAGTCCAAGGAAGTAGGGCCGGGGCGCGCCGAAGGAAAGGCGGCTCGGCGGTTCGGCTGCTGGGTGGCTCGGCGGCTCGGCCGCTCGGCGGCTGGGCGGCTCGGCGGCTCGGCTGCTGGGCGGCCCGGCGGCTGGGCTGCTGGGCGGCTCGGCTGCTGGGCGGCTCGGTGGCTGAGGTGCTGGGCGGCTCGGCGACTCTGCTCTTGGGCGGCGCGGCGGCTCGGCTGTCGGGCTGCTGGCGGCTTGGAAGGGGCCGGTAGAGACGGCGACGGGGCCGTGAAGGAGGGTAGGGCGGCGACGGGGCCGCTGAGGGCGGCGACCGGGCCGCTGAGGTCAGCAACGGGGCTGGTACGGCGGCGACGGGGCCGATCGGGCGGCTACGGGGCCGCTTAGGGCGGCGACGGGGCCACAAAGGCAGCGACGGGGCCGGTAGGGTGGCAGCGAGGCCACTGAGGGCGGCGACAGGGCCGCGAGTGTCGGTGGCGGGGCCGGTAGGGTCGGCGACGGGGCCGATAAGGTCGGCGACGGGGCCGGCAGGGTCGGCGACGGGGCCGCTGAGGGCGGCGACGGGGCCGATCGGGCGGCTACGGGGCCGCTTAGGGCGGCGACGGGGCCGCAAAGGCGGCGACGGGGCCGCAAGGGTCGGCGTCGGGGCCGACACGGGTCGGCGACGGGGCCGACAGGGCGGCGACAGGGCCGCTAAGGTCGGCTACGGGGCCGGCAGGGCGGCTGCTAGGGGCCTGAGGAGGGCGCGACGGGCCGCTAAGGGCTAGGACGCGACGGTAGGTAGGGCACACGGAGTGCGACTCGAGCAGAGGCAAAGCGCGCTCCGGGCAGGAAAAAAAAATTTGTGGTGGCCCCTTGGGAAGCGTTCCCACTAGGTAACCTGCTCTATACCATGTGAGAATCTGAGGAAGGAATGATTGCATAGAGCAGCATGAGGAGTACAAGTAGGAAACCCTAAAGAGTTGTACCGCATATTGACTACCCCACTACAGCCTAAACAGACTAGAACATATATAGTTCGGCACTCCTAGAGGCCCCTCTTACGGCCCCTCGCGCGACCCTTAGCGGCCCCGACGCCACTCCTCGCGGCCCCGTCGCCGCCCTTCTTGGCCCCTCGCGGCCCCTTCGCGGCCCCGTCGCCGCCCCTAACGGCCCCGTCGCCGACCTTTCAGGCCCCTCGCGGCCCCTTATCGGCCCGTCGCCGCCCTTCCAGGCCCCTCGCAGCCCCTTCGCGGCCCCGTCGCCGCCCCTTGCGGCCTCGTCGCCGCCCCTAGCGGCCCGTCGCCGCCCCTAGCGGCCCGTCGCCGCCCTTCCAGGCCCCTCACGGCCCCTTCGCGGCCCCGTCGCCGCCCCTATCGCCCCCGTCGCCGCCTCCAACGGCCCCGTCGCTGCCCCTTGCGGCCCCGTCGCCGCCCCTTTCGGCCCTGCCTCGACCTTGCCCCGGCCCCGCCCCGGCCATGCTCCGTCGCCTATCGCGGCGCACCGGGGGCACGTGCACCGCCCCCCCCCCTCTTTTCCCGTCGCCCGTCGCGGTTCCCTTGGGGGCCGCGACCTTGGGGGGGGGGGGGGGGGGGGGGGGGCGAGCGTCGCCCCTTCTGCCGCCTGTTTTGGCGCCCTAGGAGGCCGCGCGTCGCCCCCCCCCCCCCCCCGTAACCTCCCTACCCGTCGCCCGGCCTTGCCCTGTGTTAGGGTTTGGGGGTGGCAAGTAGGGGGTGGCGGGTGTGTGGTCTCCCCTGCTCCTCCTCCTCCTCTGTCTCCCACTGCTGCAGCTGCCGCTGAGGGGGGTGGGTGTGTGGGAGTCGACGGAGTGGTGCTAGGGGGTGGGGTGTGAGTGAACCTAGGGTGCAGCAAGGGGTGTGTAAAAGGGGGGTGCTGTGGAAGTGGAACTAGGGTTTGAGCAGGGGGTGTGTGTCGAGGGGTGTGGGGCAGCTGGAGGAGGTTGTGTGAAGGTAGCTGTCGTGTCGCTTGCAGCGCCTGTAGTCCGTCGCCCTTGCTTCGGTAGTCAGTGAGCCTGTTGCACCAGTCGCTAGTGGGTCCGTTGCTCCTGCCGCTCGTCTATAGCCGCGGAGCCAGTTACTCCAGTAGTCCGTCGCCCTTTTTTTCGGTAGCCACTGAGACAGCCGCTCCTGTGCCCGTGCCTCTGCAGCTTCAGTCGTTTCCTCCCATCTTCTCTCCTTCCACAGTTCCTCCTCCTCCTCACTTGCCCGCTGTGATTAACTCTAGCTTTGCTCGCTATTGTGAACTCCTGCTCTATGCCTGCTTGCTCATTGTGCTGATTACACCCCTCTTTGGCTATGGGGGTGTGTCAGAATGTTATAATTGTCTAGCCTGCAGTGGGGTACTTTATAGGGAGTACAACCCAATTAGGGTTTCCTATATGTATGCCAACTGCTGCTAGTGCAACCCCCTCTTCTCTCATTCCTCATTCTTTCACAAGTTGAGCGAGCCAGCGTTTGTTGTCTGCTAACAAGGGAACGTTCGTCCTTCCCAGACTCTGGACTGGAACGTTCTAAAATCGGCCTAATATGTTTGCGGTTTGTAATTGCCAAAAACGACTCCATGTGGGCACCATGTGTGCACGTCCTAGTGTTGCCTAAACCTGGTGAGCGTGACGCTACGTTATCGTCCCCAAGCCTTGCGTCAAGTAGGTAAGCGAATGGTTTTGAAGGTCGAGTGTGTTTTTAGTTTGTTGGAGTCCGTCTATAAGTAGGTTGGGCGCTGCACTTCGGGAGCTTGTGTGGTGTGACCTGCTTGATGAGGCGCCTGAAATTTTGTTTGTGGTTTATGTTTCCTCAAGTTTCTTGAAACGCGCCACCTGTTTCATGCGAATTCTGCTCTCCTCACCCTTCGCTAAACCAGTTTCAAGTTCAGTATTGTTGAGGCCTTACCATTTTACAGTTCAGTATTGTTAAGGCCTTACCATTTTAGACTCGGTCTTTAAGTAGAGCAAACATTAATTTAGAATAACTATATACTAGGTGAATCTGGTTAAACAATTAGTGGGGCTACACTGCAACGTTAATGATGGAATGTATCATAGCGCGTATTCTGTCACATGAACAGTTGCGGCTGATCCAACGCGATATGTTAGCAACTAAATCCACACCGCCTAGCAACTCTCGTTCCTGGGTCCATACTTCAGCGCACCTCCCGTTTTCGCCCTTTACTAAACACGAACCTCGGAGGAAGAACCTCGCACGGCCTCCGTTTTCAGGATCTCTGCAGACCTGAAAACGGCGGCGTGCTTTCCAGGTGTGCGAATGTGGCCCTGTAGCATGTCCCCATCCTCCGTCGCTCGTCGCTGTAGCATGCTCGCATTCGAATGCTACAGTTCTCTCCTCCGTCCTTCTCTGCTGTTTCCGCCGCGATTGCTTCGTTTCCCGTTAAACGCGTTTAAGAATCCTCAAAAGCTGTATGACCATTGATTTACGGAATTGACTATTAACTCAACGGTGGGCGATTCCCGCGCCCCTCGCTCCCCTCGCTCCTCTCGCGCTGCACCCATCCGCTGCGCCCATCCGCTGCGCCCATCCGCTGCGCCCATCCGCTGCGCCCATCCGCTGCGCCCATCCGCTGCGCCCATCCGCTGCGCCCATCCGCTGCGCCCATCCGCTGCACCCATCCGCTGCGCCCATCCGCTGCGCCCATCCGCTGCGCCCATCCGCTGCGCCCATCCGCTGCACCCATCCGCTGCGCCCATCCGCTGCGCCCATCCGCTGCGCCCATCCGCTGCGCCTTCCCCCACCTCGTACCTCTTCTCCCCCCTCGCACCTCTTCTCCCCTCTCGCACCTCTTCTCCCCCCTGCTGTCACCATCCTGTGCCCCAATCCCCAGCCACGTCTGCAACTCGTCCCGCACCCCTTGCTCTCGCCTTCCCTCCCCATCCTCCCTCCCCATTCACCCTTCTCCCCCTCCTCCCTGCTGAGCTAGCCTCCCATCCGCCATATCCTGTGTTCCTTCGCATGAGAGTCCCCATTCCCCTCCACTATCCGCCACATGCCGTGCCACTGCCTTAATCCTTTCCACCTTGTCTATTGCGAATTACATTTCATCATCAGGTGCGAAGCTGGCACATGTGATCCATACCGTACCCACATGCGAAGCTGTATCATCAGGGATACTCCCACCCTCCCGACCATCCCTGCCTCCCCATCCCTGCCTGGCAGACAACGCTGTCACAATAGGCCAGCCTACATCACACGGGGTGATATCCGTCCTTTCCGCTCCATACCTCTCCTCTCCTCCCCTCTCCACCCTTCTCCCCCTCCTCTCCATCCCTATCCTCCCCTCTCCACCCTTCTCCCCTCTCTCCATCCCTCTCCATCCCTCTCCATCCCTGCGTTGCTTCCTCGTGTCCCTCTTCAACACAGACAGTACCCGTGACAATGGGGCGGCTAACAGGGGGAGGGCGGTACGTGAAGGGCGTAACTCTTGGGAAGGGAACGTTCGGAGTCGTGTTTAAGGCATACGACACACATGTGAGACCTGGGTGCTCATTTAGGCTTTAAGGGGGTGGTACTTGGGAAGGAAGCGCTGTTTTCAATGGCATAAGACACCCATGTGATGTGAGCCAATGAATGAACAATCGTCGTTGGGTGGGGGGGGGAATGGTCTGCTCCGTTTCATCTTCCTCCTCCACATCCGTTTCATCGCCACAACAATATTTGAGACGCATCAGAACTCCGTTCGTCAAAATCACTTGTCAATTTTCACAAGGTCAAAGGGAGTTTATTTATGACGCTGTGATTCGAAGCACCTCCAGTCAGGCTCAGGGCACATGAAACACAATGCAACAGCATCATTCAATGCGACACAAGCCAGGCAGGTGAAGCCTTTTGCGCCAGTTACCTTACCTAGAGGGCCGCTGGGCGGGTGCAAGGTGAACGGGACAGGCCTAAAAGTTTACTTAACAAACGTTGAATTAGTTCAAAATTTCTGAAGTTTTTCTAAGTTAGTTGAGGAAGGCTGACCTGCTGAGTCTCCTCCTCTCCCCCTGTTGTGTTGTTCCTTCCCTTGTGCCGTGTAATTGCCTCCCATGCTTGTCACTTGTGTGGCAGACGGGTAAGACAGTGGCAATAAAGAAGATTCATCTGGGTGACAGCAAGGAGGGAGTGAATGTGACGGCTCTGAGGGAGATCAAGCTGCTGCACTGCACTCCCCTTCCTTCCCCCTCCCCTGCCTATTCCGTTCCTCACTCCTCCCCATGTTTCCCCACCTTCCATGCTTCCCTTGTGTGGCAGACGGGCAGGACAGTGGCGATAAAGAAGATTCATCTGGGCGACTGCAAGGAGGGCGTGAACGTGACGGCTCTGAGGGAGATCAAGCTGTTACAGGAGCTGCACCACCCACACATCATCGATCTTATCGACATCTACCCTCACAAGAGGAATCTCAACCTTGTTCTTGAATTCATGGAGACAGATCTAGAGGTGAGAGAGAGTGGGGCTTGTGTGGGGCAAGTAGGGCACTAAGGAGCGCCACCACCCACAAGGTGACGGCCCTGAGGGAGATCAAGCTGTTGCAGGAGCTGCACCACCCGCACATTATTGATCTCATCGACATCTACCCTCACAAGAGGAACCTGAACCTTGTTCTTGAGTTCATGGAGACGGAAGTGAGTGCTTTAAAGCTTTTGGCGGGGGTAAGGAGGAGGTATGGAGGGCTCTGAGGGAGATCAAACTGCTGCAGGTCCAGGAGCTGCACCACCCACACATCATTGATCTTATCGACATCTACCCTCATAAGTCGTTCTTGAGTTCATGGAGACGGACTTAGAAGTGAGTGCTCTGAACCTTTTGGGGGGGGTTAAGGAGGTTGAGGGAGATGAAGCTGCTGCAGGAGCTGCACTGCACCATCCACACATCATCAATCTTATCGACATCTATCCTCATAAGAGGAATTTGAACTTGGTGCTCGAGTTTATGGAGACGGACTTGGAGGTGAGCCAAACATGTTGGGGGAAAAGGAGGGCGTGAGATTAATGTGACGGCTCTGTGGGAGATGAAGGTGCTGCAGGAGCTGCACCACCCACACACGATCGAGCGAGCTCATCGACGTATAACGACTGGTGTCGTTGCAGCACGCTTTTGAATGAACGAACGGTGCAAAGTTGCAATCTTGCAAACGCTGCATAAGAGATGGATCTGGAGGTGAGCCTCGACTCAAAAGAGTTTGCGCTGGCTTTTGACTCGACTCAAAAGTCACCTTGTGAGCCTGTGCTGACACTAACTGAGGAACCTGAATGGAGAGAGAGCAGGACAGAGAGAGCTGCGCTGCACTGCTTCACCAGCCTGGCATCAAGCTTTTGAGGCGCCTCAAGAGAGAGCTGCACTGCACTGCACCACCAGCCTCTCATCGAGCAGCCCATTGACATCTATCTATCTATGGGCATCAACGGAACCTGAACTTGGTCTTGTTGTTCAGCACAATCAGACCTCAAAGTGACATGCATTTTTTGCCACGCTGAACATCATCGAGGGGGATAACCGCATGTAATGAGTCGTTTTCTTAGTTGACTAATAGAATCATTTATCACCACGCACGCTGACCCACCCACCCCGAGAAGAACAACACCAAGGATCGTTCGATTCGCTGCACCAATCAACTTGCAACATCAAAGGCATTCATGCGCATCGCACTCCCTTTCTCTCTCAGTCCCCCCCTCTCCCCGTCGTCCCCCTCTTCCCCCCCTTTTAAAACATCATCAAGAACCGCTTGCTGCACCCTTTCCTGCTACCCTCAGAACATCATCAAGGATCGATCGCTGCACCTGTCACCAGCTGACATCAAGGGCTTCGTGCGCATGACTCTTTCCTCCCCCCCCCCCCTTCTTCCAAACCCCTCCCACCCTCGTCCCCCCCTCAGAACATCATCAAGGATCGATCGCTGCACCTGTCACCAGCTGACATCAAGGCCTTCATGCGCATGACCCTGGAGGGGCTTGCATACCTCCACGGCAAATGGGTGCTGCACAGGTTGGTTCCCCCCCTTGTGCTCCTGCCCCACACTGGACTGTAGGTTGCTGATGATGATGGGTCACTCACACTGTGGTATGGTACCACAGGATGGGTTGGTAGCGCTCTTGAGAGTGCAGAGACGGCTACCAACCCATGCTTATGACCCTGGAGGAGGGGAGTTTTTTTGAGGCGCCTCAAAAAGGGTGTTGGGAAATGGATGACTCTGCACAGATGGGTGTCGGGAAATGGATGACTCTGCACAGATGGGTGTCGGGAAATGGATGACTCTGCACAGATGGGTGTCGGGAAATGGATGACTCTGCACAGATGGGTGTCGGGAAATGGATGACTCTGCACAGATGGGTGTCGGGAAATGGATGACTCTGCACAGATGGGTGTCGGGAAATGGATGACTCTGCACAGATGGGTGTCGGGAAATGGATGACTCTGCACAGATGGGTGTCGGGAAATGGATGACTCTGCACAGATGGGTGCACTGCTCTGGTGCAGTGTGCTATACAGGGTCACGTACCTATGCTTGAGGCGCCTCAAAAATGGGCTGGCATACTGCCATCAAAAGTGGGTGCTGCTCCCCAGGTGGGTGCATTAGGCTAGTGCAATGGGCTAGAAACGTTTATACTGGGGGTACAGACATGACTGTCGAGGGGCTCGTACGTACTGCCACAGGAATTGGGTGCTGCGCAGGTAGGTGCAATTGACCCACATCCCATTTTCCTCTCTGCCTTTTTCTCCATATTCCTCCTTTTCCCCCGCAACACAGAAACATGAAGGCTAATCATCGGCTCATAGCACTAATGGGTTCCTGCTCGCAAAGCAGAGGTAGCCTCATGCGCACGAGGATATGGGCACGAGAATTCTCAAAAGTGATTTCGATATAGAAGGGTTCCTGCTCGCCCCCACCTCCCCTGTCCCACCCCTCACCACCTCCCCTGTCCCACCCCTCACCACCTCCCCTGTCCCACCTAGGGATGAGCAAAGGGCGAACACGAACATGTTCGTCTTCGCCCCTTGTCGAACACCCTCTTTTGCCGAACCGAACACTGTTCGGTTCGGCGAACAGTTTAGGAAAAAACAGGTGTTCGCTGTTCGCCTGTGGAGGCGTGTTCGGGCGAACCTCGAACACTGTTCGTGTTCGTCGCGGGCAAATTTCAGCAGCGGCCCGAACACGAACGTGTTCGGGCGAACATCGAACACTGTTCGGCGAACGATTTGAGCTAAAAAACAAAGCCTGTTCGGTTCGCCTCGAACACGTTCGAGGCGAACCGAACAGGTGTTCGCCACCTTGCTCATCCCTAGTCCCACCCCTCACCACCTCCCCTGTCCCTTCTCCCTGGCCGCCCTCTTCCTGTCCCCTGTGCAACCATCCCACTCCCCACCTCCCCACCTCCCCATCACCCGCACAGGGACATGAAGCCCAACAACCTCCTCATAGGCCCAACAGGGGAGCTCAAGATTGCTGATTTCGGCTTCGCCCGCCTCTTCGGCAGCCCCGACCGCAAGCTCACCCACCAGGTGTTTGCGCTCTGGTACCGCGCCCCTGAGCTGCTGTTCGGCAGCAAGGCGTACGGGTCGGGCGTGGACGTGTGGGGCGCTGGCTGCGTGTTTGCAGAGCTGCTGCTGAGAAGACCCTTCCTGCAGGTATCCTCTGCCCTGCGCTGCTCTGCTCTGCTCTGCTCCGTGAGTCAGCAAGCTCACCTAGAGGCACCAGGCTTACACCAGAGGCAGGAAGCAAGCTGACCCACCAGGTGTTTGCGCTGTGGCACCAGAATCCCCCTCCCTTCGCCCTCCCTTCGCCCTCCCTTCGCCCTCCCTTCGCCCTCCCTTCGCCCTCCCTTCGCCTGAGCTGAGCCGCTCTTCCTTAATCACCTCCGTGTATGCTTTTTGACAACTCTCAAAGAACATACACTACGCCAGCATCCCCCTCCCTTCGCCTGAGCTAGCCTGACCTGAGCTGCTCTTCCTTATCCACTTCCGCAATTCCTTTCCCCCTCCTCTCTCCTGCTCCCCTCTCCCCCACATCTGTCAGGGATCAAGCGACATTGACCAATTGGGGAAGATTTTCGCTGCCCTGGGCACGCCGCGGGAGGACCAATGGCCGGACATGCAGTGTCTGCCCGACTACGTGCATTTCAACTTCTGCCCGGCGCCGCCCCTCAAGTCGCACTTCCCCATGGCTGGCGATGATGCCTTGGACCTTCTGTCTCGCATGCTCACGTTTGATCCTAATAAGAGGATCACGGCCGCACAAGCCCTGCAGCACCGGTGAGTGTGTCACTCATATGCATGCAGTGTGTTACACATGGAGTGCAGTCGCACCCCTCAAGTCGCACTTCCCCATGGCTGGCGA